GGTCCCCAACCCCCGGTCCACGGCCCGGTATCAGGCCCTGGCATTCACAGGACCAGGCCATGGAGACAGATCTCCCGCCCTCACATGCACGCATGGACACCCCCAAACATGCACGGATGCACACACACCCCCTAATACACACAGAGATGCATGCACGCTCCCTGCATGCACAGATGCATGAACACCTCTGCATACATGCCCACCCACCCCCCGCACACACGCTAAGCCAGTCCACGGTACCAAAAAGGTTGGGGGCCACTGATCTAAAGGATGCGATGAATCAAGTATGGGGAATTTCTTTCAGCCAACAATTCAATTCAGTTTCAAATATTCTCTGGAATGGTACATTCCAGCACTGGAGCTTTTCAGAGAGTGCACATAGCCACGATATGGTAAGGGGTCTGAATGAGTAATGCTGCAAATGCAGAAGACCTGGGCTTTTCTGTATACAAACTACATTTTCAGTGACAATTCCTATTCATAGGTGGTTTTTTTAATTCAACTTCATAGACAAACTGATGGAAAATGAAGAATTTAGCATTCTTTCCATATTCTGCTAGATATTTCAAGTATAACTCCACTACTTTAGGATCAGCTCATATAGAAATGACATGGAATTATGAGGCTGACTGTTTATCTTGCTTAAATACTGTAAGAATGACCTGCAGTAAATCCTAAGATCACTACCCAACTCTATATCCAATATGGCCAAAAGGAAATGGTAAACTTCCATGCAGGTTAACGTGCTTTTAACATGCATTGTACACATAATCCAAACGCTAAATTGTGACTAGTAAGGAATGAAAATCAGCTGAGACTAGAGAAGATAGAAAAAGCAAAGCAAAGCAACCACTTGCTAAGGTGTCATCAGCACCCAACTGTCACCTTGCAGCCATCATTACATCAGACTGAGACTTGAGGGAGTGAAAGAAAGCAGCTCTGTTGAAAAGCTGCTCCACCAGGCTTCTCCAACTGTGGCTTGACAAAAGTCATTACTGTAACTGCCAATGCATATCAGCCAAGTGTCAAGGGGCTATAGCTGCACCACAAAGGGAAGGATTGCTCCACCCTTCCAACTGGTGCTGAGGCAGAGAACAACAGAACAACAGAGAATTTGCACAAGCAAAGCAAAGAGCAGCCTAGAGCCTCTGGTTGTTGACTTGGTGGAAACTGAACAACTGGCAGAAACCAAGGACCACTGAATCAATCAGTGCCATGTTGTTGCTATAATATTTTGCCTGGACTTCCAAGATGCTGCCATAAAGATCATCCCTTTCCTCAAGATGACAACTGAGAAGACCCCAGGGATCTCTGTAATTGTATTTTCATGTCGCTTAATATCTTGGGAGACAAGTTGTTAAAGCAATACAAGCTAAAATTCTTTAATGTAAATAAGCCAGCTTCATAAATTGTGGTTTATGTTGGCTTATTTCAATGTACCATCATTGTCTAATCACACTTTTTAAAGCTTGGATAAAAGACAAAAAGCTATAGTTAAGAAGCAAGCAAAAGCTTCCAAATTCCTCCTGATTTCACCAAAATAGAGCAAGGAAAGTTACTGAACCCAAGGCTCACTGCAGCTCATGCTGGTAACATTAAACCATTAGGCTAGAGAAGTGCTACATTAGTGCTATATGTGAACAAGACCAAATAATTTCGTGAATGCTGCCTTTAGTCAACAGTGGTAAAATGAGTACAATGTCATCTAAAGCCAGGGTCCCCAACCCCCGGTCCACGGCCCGGTATCAGGCCCTGGCATTCACAGGACCAGGCCATGGAGACAGATCTCCCGCCCTCACATGCACGCATGGACACCCCCAAACATGCACGGATGCACACACACCCCCTAATACACACAGAGATGCATGCACGCTCCCTGCATGCACAGATGCATGAACACCTCTGCATACATGCCCACCCACCCCCCGCACACACGCTAAGCCAGTCCACGGTACCAAAAAGGTTGGGGGCCACTGATCTAAAGGATGCGATGAATCAAGTATGGGGAATTTCTTTCAGCCAACAATTCAATTCAGTTTCAAATATTCTCTGGAATGGTACATTCCAGCACTGGACAGTGCTAAAAGTGATAGCCAAAGATGCTAGTGTAACTCTCTCATTGCCAGTAACTAAGCCTCAGAAAAGTAATTTCAAACTTTTAAAATACAGGGAAATTTGAACAGAGGCTGGAAAATAACCCAGCAATAGAATCATGGAACCTCAAGAAGGGTATAGTCATCTCTAACACCTAGGGTTTCCCACTCCTGAAATAAATTGCAAAATAAGCTTCTATTATTAAACAATACTGTTTCCTGAACAGTTGTACGTGTTTTGCTTCTTCAATAGTGCATCAGTTGGGCAGCCACCCAGTGTGCCAAGCTGAGGGGACTGCTACAAAACAAATATGTTGATAAAAGTTTTCACATGGCTGAGCATGCTACTATCAAAGAGGTGGCCCAAGTCCTGTTTATGCTTCACCACCTTCTTGCAGGGCATGCACTCAGCCATGTGGGTATCTATTGGACACTGTTGAAAATGCTTCCAGATTACAACTTCTTTAGAGCTCCAGTTTTTGACTTCATGTTTCTAACAGGGATTGCTAACTTATCACTACTAGTTCTGGAAACTGGTGGGGCAAGTGCAGTTAAAGGTATAGGGGTGATGTCAAGTCACATGCTTCTGAAATAGCGCTCACCTCAGTCCCCTGGGTCTAAGTGATGGGTTCAGAAAATTTCACAGAGAAAACGTCTGTAGTGTAGACTTGCACTAGAGCAGTGCAAATCCCAGCCAGCACAGCTGGTGGTGAAGGCTTCTGGGAGTTGCAGTCCAAAAACACCTGAGTAACTGAAGGTTAAGAACCAGTGCACTAGAGTACAACGTAACAGAAAAAAAATCTTCTGGTACCTGTGCCTGCTTCTAGATTTCAGTGGTGAAAACAGACATCATTTACAGGTTTTGCTCTTACCCCAGCCTCCCTCAACCCCAATCAGAGGGAGACACGGGGTTCTCTGCCCCCATACCCTGAGTGCCAACGTGTCTTTTGTTTGTTTGTTGCATTATTCCCACCTTCCTCTTTAAGAATGACCTAAGGTGGCTTACATAATTCAAAGACAATATTTAAAGCTAAAAACAAAAAGTATACAAATACTAAAAAGCATCAAACAAATGCCACAGTAAGAGACAGTAAACAGAAGCAACATCAGAACACATTCAAAGTAGTAAGGCACAAGATTTGATTTATGAATGCTGTTCAGGTAGTCACTTATTAAGGGAAAGCATGCCTGCAGAGAAAAGTCTTTCCCTGCTTGCAGAAGGACAGCAAAGATGGGACCAGCCTGTCCTTGCATGGGAGGGAGTTCCAAGGTCTGG